CGCGCACTCACAGAGACCTGTAGAAGGTATCGGGTGGAATTTACAAAGTTTTCTTGGTTCGTGGGATCATCAAATTGAGAATTAACATTAAAATTTGGAAACTTGGCACGGTGTTAGGAAATTTGGCACGTTGTGTTATTTATTTGGTGGTTGGAGAGAAGGAAGTATCAGGGAAAGACCGTGTCGCGACGCGAGGAAATCAGGTGCTCCTCAGTTTTTGGACTGATACGATCTAGATAGTTAAAACCTATTTATTTGTGTTGCTGGTGATGAAAAAAAATACCCGTCTACATATCACACTAGATAGAATTTCGTGATATTTGCGATTGAAGGAGGTGGGATCGCCCGGTGTCAGATGTAAAATGAGAGAGAAGATGGTCCCCAAAGTTTGATGATTTTTTTTTAAGTTTGAGTTTCCTTGAAGACAGATAATTTACTTTTTTTCTGCCGTTGATCAAAGTATTTCGGTAATACTCATGTAGTAAGGTGTTTTGAAGTTAACATAAACGGTGCTGAGCCAAACAAACAAAAGAACCCCCCCCCCCCGAAAAAAAAAGTGAAAATTGCCCAATGGGCGAAATAATGTTAGTTTCTTCGATTTCATTATTTTGATGAGCGGCTGATTTGTCGTGACAGTTAATATAAAGACTAAACACACAATGTGTTTGTTTTAGCAAATACCAGAACAATGTAGAAATAGATTTAGCGTTATTACAAAAGACTGACTACCGCTGTCCCTTCAGAATCCCCAGGCGTTTCGTTGGCTGATCCAACGTGTAACAGTTCCGTCCACGCAATCCACAGGAAAACAATTAAAGACGTCCGGCTCCTGGAGTGAGTAGCCTCGAGGGGCCTGTGTATAGATTTGTGTCACCACGCGGTGGAATCAGGCGCTCGTCAAGTTTTGGGTATATTTGGTTATTTCTATCATCTTAAATCTTGTTCATTTGTCTTGCTTTTGGTGACACCCCCCTCCCCCACCTACCCATCTATCTTGAATAGAGCTCGAGATCGCCGTTACGATTAAAGGAGGTGTGGGTCGCCTCGTGCCAGGGGTACTTGCAGAAAGAATGGCTATCATAATTTGGTGACTTCCAAAGCTTGAGTGTTCCTGAATATTCCAAATCTACTTTTTTGTGCCTTTGATAAACGTTTTTTCAGTAAAATCCATACAGACATTTTAGGTTTATAAATGTAAATAAAAACGAAAAAAAGTAGATAAACATTGCCTAACTGGCAGAAAACTGTTAGTTCCTTAGATGTCATCATTTATTTTAACGAGCGCCTGATTTCACCGCGATGTCTCTCAAAGTCAAAGTCTTCCGGCTCATGGAGTGGATGGACTCGCGGGACCTGCGTCCTGATTTAGTCGACACTCAGTCTCCAAACCGGCGTAACGTCCACGGGAGGCCGCCAGTCACGGGGAAATGTTTGGTGGAAGACTTCCGACTGAGTTCTCTTGTGAGCCTCAAAGTCTGACGGAACATTATCGGTGGTACTCGAGACTGCAGGGGTAGTAGTACAGGAGTGTTTTGTGTTGTTGTTGTTTTTTTCTTTTTTTTTGGGGGGGGGGGATGAGGCGGATGACGAATGCTCTAGTGTTGTTTGACCCTTTTTTTCGTTTCAACACCTATTATTGTTCTTAACTCTCCTTCGTCTTTTCTTTATACTATGCTATTCTCTAGTTCATTCATCCAGTGCCAGATCTGCGACAGACATCGATCGGCGATCATGGTTCTCCATTCCTTCCTTTGCTCGGATGC